TAGCGTCCTGCGCTTTAATAATTGACTAAGCTTCACCGTTTTTACTTTTTTAAAAGAGCAAGAGACCACACAATGAAGATGTAGAGTTACTGACAGTTTTTAAAAAGCTGAATTTCTAGATAATTTAATATTGGGAAAAATAGATATTTTTTTCTTGGTGATGCCGCAACACACGGGGCCTCCGGGGTTTCCACATTTAAGAACATTTTGATGACACTAAATTTAACTAATTCTGTGAAAATGTGAGATGTGTAGAATAAAAAAATTAATAAAACAAAAAGATATAAAAAATTTCTAGCTGTTTTCATTTTATTCGACCAATTACAAATTGAAAATCCAGTTAATGTTCAAAACTGTTGGAAAATGGGAAGGTGCGAAAAGAGAGAGAGAGGGAGAGAGCATTGTGAGTATTACAAACTCCAACTCTGCGTAAATAGGTAGGAGTAGTCAACCGAAGTTCAATCCTCATAAATCGACTAAGATAATGTGAAATGTTTAAAATAAAAAAAATATAGCGATACACAGCTTTCTATTTAGTACGTCGGACATGTGTATAAGTGGGTATCAAGATCTGCTGTGAATTCCAAGTTCATTCGTTAGGTAATCTTTACAATGGTTTTAGAAAAAGACGACACTGGTTTAAGGCTTTTTAAAAAAGACAGTTTTGCAAATCCTGTAACTAGTAGTACCCGTAATTATTGTAATAGGTTTGTAATTCCATTTCATAAAGTGAGTATTTGTGGCCTCGTTGAATAGTGATTTTAACTTAAAAGTGTATGGAAAACAGTTTAGTACAAATGTGGTAACTCCCATAGGGTTTCTCCAAAACCATTTTAAAACAATTTATGAAGAGCAGTTGGTGGGTATCTACAATGTCCGTGGCTAATATTGCGTCGTACAAAATTGTTTAATAAGTCTAATTTGTTGAAACAACTAGGCCTTCAACTTGAAAAACACCCTCAGTAAACAGTCGATATTCCAAAAGTTACACATTCCAAATGTCGTTACATTCATAAGGAAATGCTGTCCTTAACTCGAAAATGAATTTTCTCCCTGTATGTGGTATGGTGTTCTCAATAACGTGACATTTGCTGAAATTTTAATTTTCATTTGTTGAATGATGATGTTTCTTTATAATAAATCCTTACTAGGATGGTATCTTCAGCCCATGGCAAGTAGTATTGTGTTGAAATTTATATCATTGACATCATGGACTTCCAACCGTTTTAATTCGAACGCCACTAATGAGTCTTATGCAGACGTTACGCGCGTCCTGCGTACCAAATCATAAGCCAGCAGGTATCTTTAATAAGTTTTACAACCACTGACTAAGTCGAAGACATTGCTGGTTGACGTTTAGTTCCGAAGTTTCAGAGGAAAATAGTCAGCACTTTTGTGTTTGTAGAAAATATTATTGATGTGTTCATTCTCTGTTAAAAACGCATCAAAAATACAAGGCTCATAAAGGAGTGGGGCCAGTAATCCAAATAAACGGCCATGTACAGGTGCATTTTTAAAACTTCAATTGTTCGAGTTAATTTACTGGGTATGTATTGCTAATTGTATTGTTTTTTTAAAGTATAATAAGAGACAATGTAGATCTGCTTCATATATTATAAACATTTTAGCCTGAAATACATGTAGGTATAAATTTCATTTTAGTCCATTTTTCTAGAAATTCATCATCTTTTTCGACCTTATTTCATGATTTTATATGTGGCGCCACCCTTGCCCATTGAAATGTTGGTTGAAAGTAAAGACTAACTTAAAGGTATACTTAAAACATTTCAGTAAAAATATTTGTGTCGCCACTGTTAGTTTTCAGAAAACTGACATAGATTTCATCAAAGTATGCCAATAATCATTCAGGCGTTCACAAATTCACCCTAATGTATGACTTCAGAAATACATCACTAATTACGTAACTGGTAAAAAATCTTTTATAACTGAAACAATTGGACATTTTAACATATGTCTTCATATAATTTTTACAACATCATTGCAGTTAAAAAATATCAAGTTTTTAGGGCCAAAAGTGTGAGTTAGTGAACCAACTCCTTTACCGTTAATAAAATGTTGAATTATTCCCTAGGCATAGATTGCCCTAGCCGTATATATCACAACTTTTCAGAATTTTAAGTTTGTAATGGTCCTCAATTTCGTATTTGATTGTGACTTCCAACCGTTCGAGCACCCCAGATGAATCTTATGTAGACGAGATGCACTTTTTGCGTACCAAATTTGAAGCTTGGACTCCCAGATTTGTTGTAACAACCACAGGGTCGGTGCAACTGTTGGTATCACCCCCGAGGATAATATAAGCCCAGTAGTCAAAATTTTGTGCTGACCCGAAATATCTTTGATGTGTTCATTTTCTGTTAATTTACTGTTAATGTTGAATTATTCCAAAAACATCCGTGTTAAACACACTGTTTCGTATTTTTTTCTCGATTTAATGCTCTCCGCATTCTTAATCGATTCGGGTACCACTGATGATTCTGATGTAGACGACACACGCTTCTGGCGTAAAAATTATAAGCTAATTTTACTGCCACTTCTTGTGACCTTTCGTTTCCGGACAATATAACCATCCCAGTACACTTTTATGGTATTTTATTTCTGTCAATATTCTGCTGAAAAAATTTGATACTTATTCTTAATACCAAGGTTCTTCTACCCCAGGCATAGATTACTTGGTCGTATTCGTCACAAATTTTCGGAATATTTGGTTTTTAATGCTCCTCCACTTCGTATTTGATTTGTCCTTCGAACCTTTCTAATTTAAACGCCACTGATGAGTCTTATGTCGATGAAACGCGCGTCTTGATACCAAATTGTAAGCTTGGTACCTTAAATGATTTTTTATAGAAACATTGGAATGGTTTAAGTGGTTGAAACGTTTACATGAATATACATTGAAGTTTTAAATCATGTACATTATATCAGTGATCAATCGTTCTACCGTATAATGCATTTCATTGGTTGGTCATAATTAAAAATTTACTGTTTACAAAACTTACAGGAAAAGATTACCGTAGCTGTACTTGACAACACCTTTCGGAATTTTGGGTCGTCAATGCTCTTTAACTTCGTATTTTTTTGGCCTATTTAATATTTTTGATTCGACTGTCACAGATGAGTCTTTGTCTGGCGTAACAAATTTAAAGCCAGATATCTATGATACAAATTGATGGATACAAATCAATTCAGATCTCGTGACTCTATGGAAATGTGTTTGTCAATATAAGTATTCATCGTTAAAGAGATTTTAATAGGCTTTACAGTTTTTTTTTAATATATCTTCAATATCAAAAGCTTCTAAGTACATGTACATGTGCAGGGTCAAATAAATATAGAAAAATGTCATTTTTGTTTTTTTTATACTGACTTTATCAGCAAGAATATCAAGCGAACAAGCTAGGGCAAGTTGATATTCGAACAGATGAAGTCAGTTTATCAAAAATAAAGTCACATGATGAAATGATTGTTCTAATGAGGGCGCGTGCATTACATTGATAAATTGATGCGGATGGATGAATATGAACACGCGACGTTGCTGCACTGATACATAACGCCTTTGCCTTACTTTTCGAGTATCCTGTCTATGATCTAAAACATATTAGGCAATAAGATCAAAGGGAAAATATACAAATTGCCGATAAAAATGGAGGTCTTATTTTTTGTAGAGCGATGATGACGCAAGTATTTCCGCATTAAAGATAATATAGCAATATATTTATACTATAAGTAACTAAATGTTCAACATTTAAATCAAATGATTGTTTTTAAAGTAAAATTACAACTCATCGAGTAAAGAATGATGAATTTATTGACCTACTTGGTTTTGGTATGAATAGTTTTTGGTTTTATAGCCTAAGAGGTTTTATGTTGTTTTCTTTCACAGTTCTCGTTCGCAACTGTACACGGAGGTTGTCGCAGAAACCCGTCCGTCGAACTATGTGATATTATTAATTTATTTCCTTTGCCTGAGGGAGATATGAAAATTTGTTCACCCGACAAAATTTGTTTTACCCAAGGGCTTCGTCCGAGGGAAACATGACTTTTCGAGGGTGAAAAAATCTTCATATCTCTCTAAGCGAAGGGAAATAAATGCTTTATTCCACTGCCTATACTTTTTACTTCCTGAACATAAAATATTAATTTACAAGTAAGGTTTCGTTCTCGCTTGCCTTTATAACTAAACACGACATAAACATTGATAAACAGTACCGGTCAAAAGTGAAGAATTTATTTATTCTATGACAAAGTTTTTTTTCTGTTTTGTTTTGTCTGAAATAATTATGAAGACGATAATGACTATACTATCGCTATTTGAAAAAAAAGGTTCGAAACGTTATGTACATAAAACCGCGCGTAGTGTCGCACGAGGTAATCCCGATGTTTCCGATAATCGGAGGGAAATATTATACTCAGAGGGCAATTTGAAGTTTTGTTCAATGTCACATTGGATGGTCTTAACCAATCAAATGTTAATTTCGCTCTGAATATTTGCATTCAGTGGAAGTAAAAAGTAAAAACATTATTGTTCAACTAAGTGGCAATAACAAAATAAAGAAAAGTGAATTTTGTTATTTGGGTTGTTGAATTTAGATGATGATGATGGATAGCTGCTTAACGTCAAGCTGCAAATTAATATGCATATTCAGGACGAGAGCATGTTAATGTAATTTGAATATTTACCCCGCTTTGTACAAGACCGACACGCAGAGCCGGAATTTTTACGTGCTAGTTCACAAGGTAACAGTCTGCAGGAAGACATCACTTTACCCGGACACATTATTCTGACTCCGAGCCGACCAGTCTTTGCTCTTACTTCTTAATGCCTTGAGCTTAGCGGAGAAGCAGTAATTACCAATTTTATAGTCTTTGGTTTGACCCGGCCTGGATGCGAACCCACGACCTCCCGCACTCGAGGCAAATACGCTACAACGAGACCACCGAGGCGGTGTTAAATTTAGCAAAAACAACAAAAATAACAATACTAGTACTAATAATAATAATAATGAAAATAGTTACAATAATAATAATGATAATAATAATTGTGATAATAATAATAAATATAAAATACAAGTACTTTCATCTATATAAAAAGTTCAAATTTTGGTTTCCTCCTTTTCAATATTTATGATATCCTTTATGAACAATACTATTGTGCTGTTCCCAAGGCTTATTATATCTGTCACGAACAAATTAGTTTTATTTTGCGACACTCCATGATTCCTTTCACTATTGCCATCTGTTTGTACCATTGGATTTTCATTGATGTCATACCTTCGAAATTTTTTGTTGGCTAGTGGACGCACACATATAAAGTGAAGCGTTTTCTGAAATAAAATGCATACAAATTAACTTTTAGTTGTTTTTTCGTGCTTTGTTGAATGCAGTAGATGACATGCTGATTATACATCTCTTTGATTTATCATAACACGTAGTGTGTCATAATGTACATATTTTCTCCTGGACAACATATATGTACGTTTCGGCGATAAAGTTTATCGACAGGTAGTAGGTATTCCTATGGGCATTAATTGCGCCCCTTTAATAGCAGATTTATTCCTGCATTGCTATGAATCACATCTTATGGCCAAACTAAGTAAAGACACGTCATTGTTACATTTAGTTGACACATTCAATAATACCTACCGTCATCTTCTTGATATTTTTTCGTTAAATAATCCAGAGTTCTCTAAATATACTACCGAAATTTACCCAAATTACTTTGAATAAATCTAGCATAAACAGCAGTAGTTGTCCTTTTCTAGATTTAGACATTTCAATTTCTAAAGGGAAACTCCATACTAAAATTTACGACAAAAGAAACGATTTTTCATTCCCTATTGTTAATTTTCCTTTTTTAGACGGCAATGTTCCTGTGGCTCCACCATACGGTGTTTATATATCCCAACTCGTTTGTTATGCCCGTGTGTGTAGTGATGTCATAGATTTTAACGTACGTAATCAATGCATCACTGGTAAATTATTAAGTCAGGGATTTCGTTACCATAAATTACTTAAAACATTTACTAAATTTTTTCATAGATACAAAGGTTTGAGTAGTAAATTTGGCTGTACCTGTAGAAAACTTATTAAAAACGGTATTTCACATCCTAAATTTTACGGTAATATTGTACTAAAAGCGCAGAAAACACTTTGTGATCCGTGTAAACTCTTTAAACAAACTTATTAGTAAAGGTTATCTCATTAATGTTGTAATAAGATCTTTGAATATTGTTTTCATTGAATAATTGAAATAATTTCTGTTATTCAATGTTTACTTATTTTGTGTTATATCTCGTCTCACTATTTTTAATATGTACTACCTTTGATAAGTATTCAGTATGACGATAAATTTTCACTCTGTACTCGTACTGTGAACAACAAATTTATTTATTTTGTAAACAAAATTTCCGTTCTCCTAACAACATAATTATTTTATTTAAATTTAAATGTGTTCGTTATTTTATTTAATGCCATTTTGTCCCAGGTTAGAGTTGTCTTTTTGACATTGTTCCTACATCTTTTTTTTTATTAATATTGTATCTATATTGTGTCATAGATCAAACTTATTCGTTCAGTGTATGTTCACTTGTTTTTGTTTATATGTCTTTTTGATCGAGTTAAACCATTTCAATTGATATTTTATAGAGTGTCTTTTTATGTTGTTATGTTACACTACTGTTTCAGGTTAGGATGAAGGTTGGCGCCTGTTAAAACGTTTAAACCCGCTGCATTTGTATGCACCTGTCCTAAGTCAGGAGCCTGTTGTTCAGTGGTTGTCGTTTGTTGGTGTGGTTTCTCGTTTCTCCTTTTTTGTATAGATTGGACCGTTGGTTTTCCTGTTTGAATTGTTTTACACTAGTCATTTTTTGGCCTTTTATAGCTTGCTGTTCGGTGTGAGCCAAGGCTCCGTGTTGAAGGACGTACTTTGACCTATAATTGTTTACTTTTTATACATTGTGACTCGGATGGAGAGTTGTCTCATTGGCACTCATACCACATCTTCTTATTTATATATAATCAACAATAGTTTACCAATGTTCAAGTTGACAAACAATAACTGAGGGCATCACATGAACTCCAAAATGAGCGAGACGGGATGTGTCGACAGGGTAAGCGTTTCATGCCATGCATGCATCACATACCGATGCTTTAACAAAAGTTTCATAACTCCTTCATAAAGATCTAAAGTCTAAATAGGTCAAAAAATGAGACTGTTGGATACAATTCAATCGGAAATAAACACATGTATTCTAAAACCAGTTATTGGCATGATACGGGTTATGTTCTTCTCATATATTTTATGATGGTATGATACTAAACCCAATACGGGAGGGATTGTACTTGATTTTCATATGATGAAGACATAATCTTTCAATCAGTTTAATTGAGGTCTGGAACTGGCATGCCAGTAACTGCTAGTAGTCCTTTGTTCATTTATGTATCATTGTCATTTTGCTTAGTTTCTTTTGTTACCTATTCTGACATCGGACTCGGACTTCTTTTGAACTGAGTTTTACTGTGCGTATTGCTATGTGTTTCTTTATTCTACATTGGCTAGAGGTATAGGGGGAGGGTTGAGATCTCACTAAACATGTTTGCGCCTGTCCCAAGTCAGGAGCCTCTGGCCTTTGTTAGTCTTGTATGTTTTTTAATTTTAGTTTATGTATATGTTTTGGAATTTAGTGTGACGTCCATTTTCACTGAACTAGTACACAATTTTATTTAGGGGCCAGCTGAGGACCACCTCCGTGTGCGGGATTTTCTGGCTGCGTTGAAGACCCATTGGTGGCCTTCGGCTGTTGTCTGCTCTTTGGTCGGGTTGTTGTCTCTTTGACATATTCTCCATTTCTATTCTCAATTTTATTTTACATACTAAAGAGAACTATTAATGTTTTTATAAGTAAAATAAAGTTCGATTGATTGGTGTTTCGATTGGTACATGCAGTGTTATATTCTTTACTTTACCGTTAAGAATTGCAGTAAATGGCAAAATATCAATAATCAACGCTACTTGATAAATATTTTCATTACCCTAAGACGAAATATTTTATTTTAATGACCTATTTTCTTCAAAATAGACCAATGAAATCCATCCACCCAAACTTACCATATTAAAATAAAATCGTTAATGATGATTTAATGTTTGTTTTTGTAATATTATACCTGACCATTTACATGTAAGCTATCCGTGCCCTTTAAGGAGTTAAGTGTTAAGTGTACATAATAATTGTGATAAAATTATACAAAATTTTATAGACACGAGTCTTTATAGAGCTAAGCATATATGTTATTGTCGCCTGTTTATCATTTTTACTATCATTTTGCTGTATTGTTGCTTGTGAGGCGCGAAAATTAAAAACACTACAAAAATCCACAAAATCCATGCAGTACATAAAGCTATACAGAAAAGGGTAAACATGTTTGCATTCATTTTAGTTTGTCTATATACCGATTCTGTTTCTGTTTATTTCGTTCATTGATGTAATGTCTCCTGTGATTTGCAATGTTCGTTATTGTCATTTTCAGATATATTGATGATGCCTTGTAGTTAGTAGGTGCTTGCATCTCAAATATTCAAGTGAACTTAAAATGTAGGACACTATAAGGTCTGCTTCATATTTAAATACTATCTTAATATTGACAAAGGTTGGCGACGTCAAAGTAGAATCTATGACAAACTTGATGATTTGAGCTTGCCCATTGCCAACTTCCCACTTCTCATTAGTTACATACCTTCTGTCTCATCGTGTAACTTAGCTGATAAGTTACACTCGTGCAGGTTAACATTATACGGACTTGCTAAACAAGGATGTGCTCCTCACAAAACAATTTGCTCTTACAGCATTATAATACATTACATCCGTCAAATATTTTGTTACATTAGTGAATTAAATACTCTCCCTCCAAACATAAGTTCTATTAGTAATAATGTTTTGCTTTGCGAAAAAAAGTATTTATTTGAATTTCTTATTATTTATATACGAAATACATATGTTACCTTAAGATTGTCAGAATAGCAAATAAAATGCACAATCCAAAGAGAACAACATTCACATACACAATTTCTTCTACAATTAGAAAAATATAAATGTATTTATATTTTATGAATGTATTTATATTTTATTAATGTATTTATATTTCACAAATATATTTATACTTTATATTAACTAAAACACATCAGCGACATTGAGGGTCCTTAACTCAAATGAGTTATAAAGTTTATTGTTACCTCGATTCGTATTCGTATTGTCATCAGATGAAGTCACGCAGTTAATAAGGTGGGCAGTTTATTTCTGCTTGCAACCACTGTACGACTGAATCGTTCTTTTCATACTTGGTTTAAGCTGGATGGGTGTCAGAAAAAAACACAATTATCTTATCCTTCGGGAGAACCTAATAATTTTGCTAATGGTGTCTCTGGTTTTATTGGGGTGTATGTTTTCAATTGTTTATACATTAAGTTTCTCAAACAATATTTTCATAAAGATACTGCGGCGATATAATTATGGTTATATATGTCCATAATTTATCATTTCTTGTTTATTTGATTTCACCTTCAGTATTTATCGGGTTTATATAGTAATCACTTTGTCCGTCCGCCGTCACCTATTATCTGCAACTCCTCCTAAGCTTGAAAGAATTCTTTACATTTTACTATTTTCTTTTTGGATTATGTTTATTTGCTGCCATTTTAGACTTATCGGTTTTTGATTGTATTGGTACCTTCAGACTCTTCGTGGACATACATGACTGCTTAATATTGTGGAGAATTTTTTTGGGAAAATACAGCCCATTGAGAAAGTTCATTAATAAATGATGAAATTCAAGAAAGATCTATAATTTTAATAGCTTTTTTTCAAGGACTCAAAATTTTCCGCACTACGACACATTATAAGTATAGTAATTTTGTTTAGAAGTACATTCTTTCAAAGCTATAGAATTAAAGTCCAGAGAGAGATATTAATTTATGGTCATTGTAGGCCAAATTATTATTTTGTATGTTAAAAGAACCCCAAAAATTAAAAAGAGACCTTTGTTCTTCCAATTGTTAAATGGTTGGTATTAGTTGCATTTGGTATCAATAATAGATAACCCTTGATATGCAGTATAACTGTGATAATACAGCACACCCAATGTTAGTATTGAAATATACACAATGAAAATAGCAACAACAGATGTTGATCTGCAATGTATAAATAAAGCATTATTTATTATTCATGACTTCAAGGGTACATTTATTAATGTCAACAATGCAATAAGTAACAGTATTTCAAATTAGAACCGAAAGTAGTATACATAAAAACTGTAACCGCTGGCAATGCCGAAAAAGACACCCGCTTATCATTTTGTTCTCTGACTTATTTCCCAACTAACCAAAAAATAACAAGAATCAATATATATAGTATGATAAACTACAGTTAGGATACCACATTTTCGATAGAGAATCATATTGATTTGGAAGACTGAGAACGGCATCAGGTCTCCTTATTTAGTATTATCGATTGGAAAATGTAATTATTTAATACTATTTGTTATCTTGGTGTAATCAGGGGTGTACAAACAAATTTTACACATGAAATTCCGTACACCCCTGATTACACCAAGATACAGAATTTATTTCTTATGCAAAAAGTAAAATAACAAAAATACCGAACTCCAAGGAAACTTCAAATCGGAAAGTCCCTTATCAAATGGCAAAATCAAAAGTTCAAACACATCAAACGAATGGAAAACAACTGTCATATTCCAGACTAGGTACAGGTATTCCTTATGCAAAACAAACAAAGACAATATTATTTGAAGCTTTGTCCACAGGAACAACAAATATTCATCGTGGAGAGATGATAGACATTTCACAGCTTCTTTGTCTCTGAAAACGGACGTTGGTTGATCATTCACACAGTTTTTCGACTTATAAATTCGACGTTTTATCAGAGACCTGATTGTTTTGACCCATTCTGACAAAGTGTCCAGTTCAACTTCTTCTCGTTTAGCCCATGCTCTGGTGTATCATCAATGGAATACATGATTATTTTGAAGTTATGGTTGCAATTGATGTGTTGGGGTTCTCTGAACTTAAGATCATGATATATTAACTTTCAGAGATGTTCATGTTGAATTATGTTTAGATCCCCAGTAATAATATGGCCAGAGGGGCTGTAAATATAAGGCGAGTAGGAACAGCCACATGTCAGAGGGTTTTTTTTAGGTATTCATCTCAATCAAGGTCCTCCAATGCTTGCTTGTAGTTAAATACTTTAGGTGCAATGGTTTAGTGTAACTGTAGGATACAATAGGAACAGACTGATTATGAAAATAAAGTTGAATTTTAGATGTTATCTCCTTGTTATGAAGAACGTTGCTGATGTTGGTTGCATCAATTCCTTTAATTGAAAACTGAACTGGAAGGAATTTCCTCTTTTTATCACGTAAAGGTTCCGATCTTACTGGTTTAAAAAGACGTAAAAGAGCTACATCACAAATTATACTGACCAGTCTGTACTAGTATATTGGAGAAAATGTATTTATGCATCCCTTGTCAAGTGCATAATCTCTCAAACATTTTAGAAAATTAACAGGCAGTGAAGAAGGAATAGTTATAATGTAATGTAACCCTAGCGGATGATGAAGATGTGAAAGAAGATCTCGATTTGGAAGACTTTTTTTACATTGGGCCGATGGTATTGTCTTTGCCCATGACTTCGCTGGTGTCTTAAAGTAGTATTAAATTCATTACATTTACATCATTGCAGGGTGGACTTGACAAATTTCCTACTCCTTTGATGTTATCATTGCAACCGTATGGCATTGCAGCACCAAGTTCCCTTATCCAGAAATTTTCTCTATCTTTTCGGAAAGGAGTACTTAGTACAGGGCTTTTGATGTGGTGATAAATTTTCTCGATGATGCGTACTTTCATAGATAAAGAAGAATCATGGTCCGGTTGATTAAAATGGTTATAAAGAACCCTAAATTGCTGATACTTATTATCAGACCGGTGTTGATTCATCTTTTCACGCAAAGTTTGTCGAGTTTCACCAACATAAAATAGTCCACACAAAGTACATTCAATTCCGTAAACGAAATTGTCCGTGGAACAATTTGTATACCGGGTGTAAAATTGAAAGAAGAACTTTCACTACACTTTTTTTTACACCAATGTTGCAGCGGATTTTCAAATATTACCTTTTTTATTTGTTTTTTGAATCTTTGGAAATTTTGGAGAAAAAAAATTAGAGGGGAAGGGGATTTTGGAAAAAAAGAATTTATTATTTTTTTTTGTAATTTTTGCTCTTTAATTTTTTTTTTTCATTTTGGACATTTTTAATTTTTTGTTTTTCATCCCCGGGTGAATTGGGGCGGGGTGTTATTTACACAATCAATCAGATTGCAAGATTCTTGCTTCATAAGAAATGAATATATTTTTATACACGATTTTCTTTTTGACAATAAATGTGTTATTATACTCATATTGAGAAATATTGTCAAGAACAGTTAATCATATCGAAGGCGGCTGTATGTTCAATATATATACTGCAAGGGAAAGAATACAGTTATTGCACTTGCCGTCAGGAGATATGAGGATTTGTCAAAGGAAATGAATATTTTATTCCTCTGCTTATACATTTTGTTTCTTCTTGGATATTAAATATGCATTCACCTATAATTGTCATATCATCTTGCCTTTTTAACTTTTTTTGTGACAAAAACAATACACCTGTTCAATAACTAATTATTTATTAAGTGACATGTTTTTTTTCTGAATGATTTTACGTATGAAATAAATGCAAATATGATGTTGGCATTTATATTGCTATGGAAAACAGTGAAACATAAAACAAACAGCGCGAAATGTCTTATGACGTATTCAGTTGAAATATATTCCTTAATTTTAGTCAAATTACCCTTTCGGAAAAATGCTTGTACCAAGTCAGAAATATACAGTTTTCCGTTTGTTCCGTTTGTTGATATAGTCGAACGTTTGATATTGTCAGGTTTAATAGACTTTCCCTGTTTTATTCAATTGACGTTCTGTATTTTTGTTAATACTTTTTTCATAATATGGTACCTAATATTTTAGTAACATTGATGGAACTGTGTCCAATTCCTGCAGTTCTGATGCCTGCAGGTAAGGCACACAGTATATTTCCGCTATCTTGTTTCTGTCTTTTCTGCTTGCACGCTAATATATTTTTTTATCCCAAACCACTCTAGTGCATACAAAAGTTAAAGGAGGTAGTTTAGAATGCAATATCGATCAACATCGATCAGTATGCAATATCTGAAGTTCATCGAAAATGCTCTTCTTTTGGGTACAAGTATTAAGGAAGACTGCTAAAAATATCGGCAAATCTTGAATTTTTGGTTTACAAAGAAATCATAATGAATATTTGTTACTATGTCATAAGTTAGTTAAACAAATTCAGTTGGGACTCAACAAGCAACTTGCACAAAATCACCCCTGGTTTTTGGTGAAGTTCATGTTGCTCAGTCTTTAGTTTATTATGTTTTGTTTTGTATATTGTTGAATGTCTTCTGGTCGTGTTTTGTTATTGACCTGGCGTTGTCAGTTTGTAATCGACTTATGAGTTTGAATATCCATTTGGTATCATCCACCTCTCTTTTATGTTTCTAGCCATACGAGTTTGAATATCCATTTGGTATCAACTGCCTCTCATGTATCTATTAATATATCTATCTATACGAAACTATGCAACCAGAATCCAAGCTTATGTCATGACAATATAATAAGTGTTTTTCACTTTCCTTTTCTTGTAAAGTTGTTGTATGGCGATACGTTTCGATGTTGGGTCCACTATTGTGCGGTTTTATTTTTAAAACTTTCATACCAAATGTATCATTCTTCATACCTGGTCTTTGTACATCAGGCATGTTTGATGAACTAGGATTCATTGTTCTATCGAAAATTGGTTCTGTTGAGATTGCAGGAAACTGACTACCACGGTTCCCAATTACTGGCTTTATAAGATGACCTACACACACGAAGCAAAAGCATTATGACATTCAGGCATATATTTAAACAATGTATATAGTATTGCAATGTTTTGTTATTTGTATGATTCTCAGATATGTTTAGATTGAGATAATA